TTTAGAAAATGAACCAGCAGAGAAAGTGACTTTCAAGGGAAAGACAGCCTTCTTCAAGGTCAAATATTTATTGTGTGCCAATAACAACTCCATCCTCCACACTGCTGCCAGCATCTCTGAGCAGCTTGCTGGCAGGTTCACCAGCCTGCCTCCCCATCCTGCTCTGTTGTCCATGTTATTGTCATTATTAAGTATCTAAGCAGCTTCCACTGCATTCAGCAGTGTGAAAGTTGCCGAGCACGTGTTTGTTTTCACTCAGTCTTGGGAGCAAAAGTTAGAGCACAGCTAGGCTGATGGTCATAGAGTATGAACTCATGGCTTTATGCTGTGGAGGTGGATGAGTATCTGCCCACCCCTGTGCAAAGGGGTGCTGGTAACATCCCTAGATTCTGATCTAGCAGCTAGCTGGGCTGTTGAGGACCCTCGATTTTCCAGACACGGCTGGTGCCCTGCCTCGGATGTGCAGGGAGCAGCTTAGCCCACAGTTCCAAGGACAGCCTTGATCTCCATTGCCTCATAAATAGCAATACAGGGAGGCTACATCAGCTGAAATGGATCATTTGCATCTCTGAAATCACCAACTGTTGGTGAGAAAGAAAAGGGGCTTTATTTCATTTTTGTTTAAAAAAGCAGCATTTTTCTCTCTCACAGTGTTTCCTCTTTTCAAAAACCCACCTTTTATAGCTCATTATCTTTATCTGTGCCTGAGCACAACACATAGCTGAATTTCTCGGACCTGAAGTATCTCCAAGGGTAGCTGTGGGTAATGAGAGGATGCACAGCAGGAAAGGCAGCCGTCTGAGAGTGGCCACCTCTGGGATAAAGGGCCACCTCTGCTCCTCCCCATGAGGCAGGCAAATGATGGAGCAGAAGCAGTCACCAGCTGTTAAAGCAGACGTCTACTACAGAACAGATTTTAGCTTGCTGCCTATGGCCAATGAGAAGTGAACTGACCACTGAAGGATATGACAACTTATCCCTCACTTGAAGGGCCTGGATGATCCCCTGCTGGTTTTTTTCAATGCAAAACCCAGACTTGCTGTGCTCCCCACTGGCACCCTGATGTAAAGCTTTGGACTGTGGGAAGCAGGCTTGATTCAGATGGTCTTCACGGTCCATCCTGCCATCAGTGTTTATGGACATCCCACCAGGGCCAGTTGTTCTTGGCAGCAAGCTGAGAAGATGCAGGATGGATAAGGCTGCAGAGGCTCAGCATTTCCCCTCTGCAAGTGGCAGGATCATCCCTGCAGCAAGGGGCTTGCTGGCTCCATCAGCTTGCAGGGATGTAGCTGGTGGTACATGGGGGAAAGCTGCATGTTGCTGACACCAGCGCTGAGCATGGCTGGGAAGGGAAGCTAAAAAAGCACCTTCACCTTATGGTGCTCACAGGGTGCTGTAAGGGTGCTGGAGGGGAATATCATACCCCCACCAAGGCTGTCCTTGAAAGCAGTGCCTCTCTGTGGCTGGTGGTATCTGCAGTGTGGGGAAAAGGAGCATCTTTTTGGAGGGGGAATGAGTAGGACCCCTTCCCCTTCCCAGCTCTGTTGTGCTGTCTGAACACAGGCATGTGTGTTTGCATGGGGGAAGAGGAAGGAAAGATGAACTCACTGATGCTGGTTGTGTATCTTGAAGCATTTTTTACAAGTGCCTTCTGGGGTTAGGAGCCAACAGGCCACAAAATGGGCAGAGAGACTTCTCAGAGGAGGGGACCTCTTTGCCACAGCAAGCACAGGAAGAGCTGCACTAGTTAAAAATGGGGCAGGGTTTCCAGAAGGCAAAGTCCCTGTTTAGAGATAGGGAATAGTTGAAGAAAAGTCAATGAAAAGTCAATGCTTCTTCCTTCCCCTCCTATCTCTTGACTTTCTGGGCTACCGTGTGGTGTCTAGTCCTACCACATTCAAAGACATCCCAGATTTGGGGCTTGGCAGTGGGTACATTGTAGGGTCTGCCAGGCCAGTGTTGCCTTGGCTTCCTGGGTGCTGGGGTCTCACCGAAGCTGACGGGGCTTTTCTGGATTTTGCCCAGGTGGTTGGAACCCGTGGTCGGCTTGGGGTGACTGCACCAAGGACTGCGGGGGAGGCCTGCAGACCCGCATGCGCACCTGCAAGCCCCTTCCCAACGAAGGTCTTGTCTGCGAGGGAGTCCTGGAGGAAGGACGGCTGTGCAATAGGAAGGCATGCAATAGTAAGTGGAGGCATGTTCCCTTGCACGCGCGTGAGCGGGTTGCTCTTCCCAGGAGGAGCTTGACCTCATTGCCGTAAATACTGAAGGATGCTCTAGAGGCATGGTGAAACTCCCAAAGGGACTTATTGGAGTGGCAAGCCCAGGGGAGCATGCGATTTCAGCTGTGCATGACCCTGCCCTTCCCTGCCTGTCTCGTGGTCATGCATGCACATGTGCACGTACTGACACACGTCTTCTAGCACACACACCCCTGCAGATCCAGACCCCTACCCCGAAGAATAGGGGTTAATCTATAGGAATCTATAAGCAGCCTCATATCAGGTATTCACATGCTGGTGATAAATCTGCCACTGATGGCAAAATATACACCCTTAAAGGCGTTTCTTTGACAGTTGGAACCTCTCTCCCAAATAAATAAAGCATGAAGCTAAGACAGATGTTAATCTTGCTTCTTTTTGGCTTAGTTCACCTTCCCTGTCAAGAGCAGTGCTGCTGTCCCTTTCTTTTTCAAAATGAGGCCCACAGTGCTAAGATGTGGAGAGAGATTTGGCCATTAGACAGACAAAATACAGGGCTTGAGCAAAGCAAAGTCTCTGGCAGATGCTCCACTCTCCCCCTGTCATGCAGCCTCTTTCCAGGTCCTCTTCTTCAGAGAGCAGGTGACAGATTGTCAACGCCAGTCAGCAGTCAGCTATCAATGGGTTGAGCTGGTGAACCTCCAGCACTTTCATCTCCAGTTCTTCTTTTGCATTATTTGAGTTGAGAGGGGGATGAAGAGGAAAAAACAACAGCAGAAGCAGCTCAGCCCAGCAAATGCAAGAAAATGGCTGATTTTAATTATTCCCTTCTTTTTATTCCAAATTCGTATTAGAGAATGTTTGAATAACTCCTCCAACTAGTCAAATAACTAGGGAAAGTTCAACTCTCTTCAAAGGCAGGGAAGTATCTCCTGATAAAGGGGAAGTTCAAATAGAGGGACATAAATATATTCCTCTAATAAGGGCTAAAATGATTTCATGCATTTTTTACCACTTCCATAAATTTAAATCATGTTGCAATTAGGCTTTTTTTTTTTTTTTAATGAAACCTTCTAGTATATTGAATTTCTTCTCCTTGACTCACAGTTGCTAATTTCCCTCTGAGGTTCGCCCACAGTAAGGATATTTAATCAATGATGTCCCCCACGCTTGCTGGTGACTTTGTAGTCATAACACAGCTGTGGCTTGAGGCAGTGGTGATAAGAATACAAAGACCTGGAAGCTGGACCTGAAAGAAGGTCCGGATTGAGCGTACCTGAATGGAGATGGAGGAAGGGCCACGCTGGTCTTGGTTATGATGCTGTGAAGGAGAAGAAAGTGAAGACGGCATTGTGGGTGGGTAGAGGGGGCTTTGAAGGTCTGTCCATTCTTTGAGCATGGCACATGGGACAATGGGCAAAAAAAATCCATAGAATTGGACAAACAAGGGGGGTACCCAGCTCCGTCTTTGCAGGACATCCATCCCCACCCCTAAGCATCTTCAAAGCCCTCTATGGTACCTGTTTGATTCCTTCACATCCCTCTTGAGTTAGGTGGGTGATGCTGATTGGACACTGTTTTGCAGGTCCAACCTCACCAACACTGAGCAAGGGGCACAACATCTTCCCTTGATCTGCCCCAGGGGCAAAACTTTGCTCTTCTTCATAGAATCATAGAATCACTTTGGTTGGAAAAGACCTCTGAGATCATCGAGTCCAACCTTTAACCTAACCCTGACATCCCACCACTAAACCATGTCCCTAAGCACTTCATCTGTCCTTCATGGTAGATCTCATAAGATTTCTGTGGCAAGGAGGAATGAAGTGGGATGGTGGGCAGCCATGCCTGGAAGTCTGGGCTGGTTTTCCAGCTCCGCTCATTGCATGGAGCACAGCAGTAAAGGATGAATCGCTATTTACGCACTATTTACTCACTCGTTTTTTCCAGAACACAACATTCAGCAAAGCCATTCCTAAGTGCAGAAAAACCTGATTGTACCCCTTGGGGCTATGATTCAATAGATGATTTCACTTGTCTTCCTGTCCTTTTTCCATTACATACCCAGTCAACTGCTGCTCCAAATTGCAGTGCAGTTAGTTCAGCTGAACTTATTTGGAAAGAATGGATCTTGAGCTAAACGGAAGGTCCTGGTTTGGAAAGAGAGCATGCCCACAGAGTGGGGCAACACAAATGGATTTATCCCTTTGAAATAAATAAGTTAATTCTGATTAATTTTCCCAAGGGCCTCTTTGCAAACAAACTGCTGAGCCCTGTTATGATGCTTTCACGCTGGCAAGTTGGAAAGCATTTGAGGGAAGATGTGAACAATTACTCTTTCAAGAAGACTTGCCCATGCACATCTTGAGGTCTGTGTCCTACCTCAAGATAAACCCATGTATCTTCATATTTACCAGAGCTGTGCATTTGGCTCTGAACTCGCTCCTCAGTGAATCTGTCCCTTGTTGCCTTTGCAGCCGTGCTCAACAGAGGTGCACTTTGGACCCAGGAAGGGCTTTTAATTTTTTTGAACTTACCTTTTCCTTCTCTTTACCGTGATCTGTACCAAAACCAGAGAGGATTTAAAAATAGAACAGAAATCCTGTTTTTAATGTGTCGCTGTTATTCTCATATTGACTTTTGCTCATAGATTTGTTAGGGATGAGTAAGATATTCATTCTTCCACTTGAACTGTTATTTTCCTAAGTGTTCATTATACACCGCAGTTAAATAGTTTCTAATTCATTTTTTAAATTAAAATAAAAGAAAAAAAAAGAAAAAAAAGGAAAAGAAGAACTGGACAAAAGAAAATCTTCATCCTGAATTGTGCAGCATTTCAGTAGCTTATAATAATACCTGACTAGCTCCCCAGGTATTGTCGAGTAGCTGACCCCTTTAATTAGCAAGTGGAAAACAAACAGGAAAGAATATTTTTTTCATTGACCAAAGGGCCGTCTATAACCCTGATAAAACAGCAAAACAAAACAGGAATGAGCACTCTGGTATGTTCCTCTTTGCTGTGGGTATAAATTAAAACTTGTCCGAGGAAACTAATACCACCACTGAAAAGTAAAATCAGTTGCTGGCCAAGCAAGTTAGGTTAGAATAACACAGAAATCACCACCACCTTCAAAACAAGGCTTATAAGCTGATGGGTGGTTAGCAAGAGTGTTTAGCTCTTGATTTAGATCTCCAGGAGCAGGGAGGGGTCTTAGTCTGTTACCATATCTGGTGCAGATTCTCAGTGGGAGAAACTTTGGGTGTTGCCACTCAGCTCCCTGGACCTGCTGAGATGAACTTTTGCAGATCTGTGAAGGTTTCATCGGTTGTTTTATTTTTGCTTGGCCATGGCAAATGTGCTAGAGGGATCTAACCTTTCTTGTCACGCAGCTCCACCCCCAGGTGGACCTTCTCCAGGTCCTGCCATCCTTCCTCTTCCGGAACTGCCCCAGGTGGACCTTCAGCAGGTCCCAGTATGCAGCAGTGGGAAGGGTGGTTTTCAGCCTTTCCAAGAGGTGTGACTTCTGGCAGCATGGTCACTGAAATATAGGTGTAGCCACATGGTTCCCAGAGCTGAGTCTGAACATGTCGGCTGGAGGCCATAGTGTTGTTTGAAATCACTGCACAGGGACAGCTGAATGACGTCACTGGTTCCACTTGTATGTGGGCTTTATGTTTTTCCACTTGCTTGGGCCACCATCTCTGCTGTTTCAAATAATGGAGTCTTGCTTGATGATCTTCATCTGTCTAAATTTCCCCAGGGATACATACCCAAGCCCAACAGCAAGCGAGCCAGGTAAGTTATCTCCATGGACAAAACCCAAAGCTGTAAAGCACTGTAGTGAAGGCTCATCCCAAACTGGAAAGGAAACTTTGTCTGGTAAAATCAGCTTGGCTCAGGCAGAGACTTTTTTCATGGCAGCTGTTCAGCTGAAGAGACATAATCTGAAGGACAACATTCAGTGTTTGTTGTAACTCTGATTTTTCTTTGCTAGAGGCAAAGGACCCAGTGATATCCTCCTTTCCAGCACAGACAGGGGAGATTTCCTCCATCTGTTGGATTTGGCTGGGAGCTGCTGTTTCATAGAGGGAGGAAAAAGCCAACCCAAATGTGGTGGCAAGTGCTTGCAGAGGAGCTTTCCAGGTCCACCCCCTTTGGATGGAAGGGGACACCCACTGTGCTCTGGTAGCCCCTCTTGGCTGCATGGTGCTAAAAGCTGTGGTTGCTTACAACCTGGCATTCCAAGGGTCCTGGTGGGGAGCCTGGACAGGCACCATGGCAGGACAACATCCAAACCAGAGGAGGGATGTCACAGGTCTGATCCTGGTGCTGGAATTCGGCAGTGCTGGAAAAATGCAAGAACAATCAGAGATGTAGGCAGCCTGCATTTATTCCTGGGGAATGAAAACTAGCAGAGGAGCCAGCTGAAATCCTGCCATCCCATCTGGCAGAGGCAATGCAAAACCATCTCTGACATTTATGAATATGCAGACTGGGCAGATACGTCTCCCCTCGGCTGGGAAAGGGGTGGCCGCATCCTGCCCTCAGGTGCAGAAGCATGACGCCAGTGCAGTCCCATCGATCCATGCTGGATTTCCAGCATCAAGGGGGTTCAGGATCTAACCCTTCAGCTGTGTAACTGTCAGTGGTGTGAAGAAACACATGTTCCACATGACATTCAAAAGATTGAGCCTCAGTCTCATTCTCTGCCGCCCCTGATTTTCATTAAAAATAGCCTTTTTGCTGCAGCCACCAAGCTGAAATATCTTGTGCATGTGTGAGAGCACCTTCATTCCCTGCAGGCCAGGCTAGAATTCATTGCAAACTGTAAGAGCGCCTTGTCCTGTAGGTACCTGCTGCTGCTTGCAGAGACTTTGCCCAGTCACCCTTTTAATGGTGGTTTGGACATTTCGTACCTGGGAGTCACACATCTCACCCAGTGACATTTTCACAAGCCTCAGACGTTCAAACCAAAATGCTTCGGGCCATTTCCTTAACTGGTGTAATTGCCTTATACCCAGTGGCCTCCAAAATAACCCTCTTTTACATCTGCTGAGCTATTGGTTTTCAAGGGTTGTTAGTGATTCTGCCCTTCTCAGTTTTACTCCTTTAGCAGCTGCTAGATGCCCCAGAAACTCTGTAGTCAACACCTTCTCCCTCAGTTTCACTGCACTGAGATACATTCACCCCATTTCAATGGGGTGTTCCACTCTTTGCTCTGGTCCATCCTTTCATTCCCACCACCCTAGTTTGCCTGAATAATTTTCGTGATCCTGCTGTTTTCTTTACCTCTCCTTTTTGGGGGACGAGTACAGAGGGAAGAGTGCGTAGGTCTGGTGAGACATGTTTGGATGTTAAAACCTTGGCCCACAACACTGTAAAGTCTCTGCATTCAATTTTTTCCCTTTGGTTGTGTTGCAAGGTGCTGTCTGACACATTACATGTTCTCATTAGAAGTGTTGGTCACCTGCTTCCTCTTCCCACTAGTGCCAGCATTGCAAGATCATCCTCCCCCTCCACATTTGAGCTATGTTCCTCCAAAATCTCACGTGCTTGCCATAGCTTGCAATTGAAACCTCTCTGTGTTCCCTCCAAAGGCATTATTCCTCTAGCCCTCATGCTAGCTTCTCCAAGGTGCTGGGTATTTCAACAATGTGTCATCCTCACGGCATTTATACAGCTGGGATGTAAATCAAGTCTAGATCTTCCTTTGATCCTGACATTGTTCCTCTCCACTGACCCAGTTGTGGGAAGCGGGCTGCTAAAATCTGACCAGTTCCCCACTGCTTTTATTTTGTGGCCTCCACCCCATGAAGTGCAGGTGCATAAAACCCACAGCAAACCATCACTTGTACAAACTTTACCTTCTGCATAAGGGACCCAGCTTCTCCCAGCTTTGTTCAGAACCACGGCTGATCTTTGAATATATTCAAGGCAACTTGTCCAGGTTAAATCTAAACCATGTTCTATGTTAAATGGAGACAGACCTGCTTCTCTGCAACACCTTTCCAAAGGTGCAGCGGAGCAACCCCAGCATGGGTCTGGAGGAAGTCTTTGCTGGTGGGGGCTCCAGGCAAGCTGGAAGTCTCACGCCTTGAGCCACTAGACCTGGTTGCCTTTAATTAGAATAAACAATAGCAGCGCAGGCTTGTCATATCTGTCAGGGAGCAAAGGAAAGTATACAGCTCCTTCGAGACTAGGATCAGTCATTAGAAGAGTCAGTAACGATGGGGCCCAAATAACTGGTGAGAGGAGGTCCAGGGTGCCAGGGTTGCATTTAAAACTTACATTTTGCTCTTTTATCTTTCCTTCCTTCTGTTCTGCCTCCTATCTCTCTGTCTATCCATCTATCCATGTTCACTGGCTGCTTCTGGGATATTCAGTCCCAGGTTTTCCTTGTCACCTTCCTTTCTCTGGGCAGTTGACAAAGTCATCCAAGCTCCACATCTACCCCGTGTTGCGCAGCCCCTGTTTCTCCTCCCAGCCTAAAAAAACCTCTGGGAAGCCTATGGGATTTACTGCAGATGGAGATTTTGTCTCTTCTTATGGTTTGTATGCTTTCATGAAGAGGACTTAGAGCAGATGAAAGTGCGTGGGTATAGCCAGCAATGAGTGGTGGGAAAGGAGCAGGGTTTGTGATGTGTCCCAAATATGGGACTAATTTAACTTGTCTCCCAAGCAAACTCAAGATACTGGATAATGGTAAGCTACTTAGAGGTTGGCATTTTTTTTTTCAATTGAATCTCACACAGCAAAGTCTCACGACTTTGTAGCTATTAAAAACATAGGATTTGGGCCCTTTCTGTTCCAGTAAAGAGCCAGACAAAACCAAGGTGTATAGAAATATCAAGATGTTTGTGGTCCTGATGTCGGGCTGCCGGTGCCTTTCCCTTGATGATGGTGGGTGACTGACCCATCCCCTCCAGCCAGCAGCCTCCAACCAGTCGGTGCTGGGAAGGTTTGGAGGAGTTGGAGTGACCAGTTCCCAGGTTCCTTAAGTCCTGCTTTTGGGCAACAGTAACGGGAAATAATATAATTTCACAAACTAGATGGGCTTCTTCCATGAACCAAGCTGCTGAATATAAAGTCTGGCTCCTGGCAGGGACTGTCTGAATCATTCCTCTTCCTCCTCTGCTTTCCCTTTTTGGATGTCAATAAAGACTCCTGCCACCACACTGGAGCTTCATTAACCTTTATTAATTTTCTCAGGGTTCCGGGATCAAATTTGTCAGCATTTCATCTCCTGGCAGTTGGTACTTCTTGAAAAGATGTCTGACTGTTTTACCTCTTTGAGGAAAAAGATTCTCTGTCTGGTACTTGCTGTTTGGAAACAAATTGGTTGCCAGATCACAGACTACTTGGGCTCAGGTCTGCTCTCTGCTATTCTGCATGACTCCGGTGGAGTCAGCTGAGCTCTCCTGATGTACACCAGGCAGTACTGATGGGTGGGATTTGGTTACTATTGCCTGGTTGCTTCTTTATTTACTAGGGAGGGCACGTGTCAGGGTTGCAACATGCCCAATACCATGGAGAATGGAAGTTTTCATTTCTCCTTTGGCAAATTCAGGGCTGATCCTCACAGGACGCAAATGCAAAGCTGGCAGAAGTGCGGGTTTGGAAAGAACAGGGTGCTGTTGTCAGTCAGGAGTTAAATGACTTCACTTTACAGTGGATGCGTTATTTACCTTCCGGTCTCAACACCATGGTCTTCAATGGGAGATTTTCAGTTAGGACACTAGAGTCGGGATCTTTGCTCTTCCATCTGAGTTGGAAAGGTGCCCAGCCATAGCTCTGTTGGTACATAAGTCACTTTGTTGATACCAGACCTTCATCCGTCCCTGTTGCTGGTGGTAGGGTAGAGTCTGTGAAGGAGGCATCCTTCTGAGCTATCCCTTTCCTCTTCATCTGCTCTCACCTGCCTGCTCCACTCAGCATTTTCTGGTTACTGGTATTGCTAACTAGATGCTGGTTGCAAGGCCGAGTTTTCCACCAAAAAATGCTGCCAGTCATCACCGAAGATCTTGAAACACTGCTAGGGATGGTGGGATTCATTGCCAGTGCATCTGAAAAGGCTAAATCCTCCACAAGTACAGCAAAGAGTACAGACACCCTAGAAAATCACGGCAATTGATTAAAGTCTAGGCATAAGGATCATATTCTGCATGGTCCCAAGTATCACTGAGAAACAAGGGGTTGAACTGCCAGACAGTCCAAGTCTTGCAGGCTGGCTTGGTGCTAAAGCCTCAGGGACTGCTGGTGGCCAGGGGTGTTGGGGTTGGAAAGCAGGTGGTCATGTCAACCAAATGTTGCAGATCGCTGTTGTTTATACGTGTAACCTTTGTAGTGAAAGATCTTGCAGAGTGAACCAAGGTGTATTTACATGACCCATTACCTTGCCATAGCCAATGGACGCTATAATTCCAGAAGCCAATCGCTGAGGTCCACAGATAACAGAAAGCGAGAGGACACTGATGAACTGCAGCACTACGGGTACCCTGCACCTCAAATAGGTAAGCGCTACCTACCAGAACAGCCTCTGGAGCTGGCACATTGCCTGGTCACTGCTCTTCCCAGCTGGGCTGGGCTGACTGCACTGACTCACTTTGCTGTTTCAATGACCCAGTTAACCAACTCTTTTTTTCCCCCCAGGTTAGTGTGGGCTTATCCAACAAGTCACACACTGAGGAAATGGTCATCACCCAGTTCGTTCCCATCCCATTGCCCTACAAGTTTTTGTGTTGTTGCCATTAGCCAGAGAAGGCAAAAAGTGTTAGACGCAAAGCGTTAACAAGACCATGCACCTCACAGACCACTTCTCATCACCCTGACTACTTCTGAGTCACCGCTTTGTCTGAACTATCTAAACAGTCATGGTTCATTAAGCCAAAGCTGACCTTACTGCGATACAGCCTCTTTGCTGATGTCCATGTTATGCCTTCCCATTGACCGTTGGAGAAGGTGTGCAGGGCATGATGGGGAGAGAGGAGGACTGCTTTACTCTGTTGATGGGTCTTTAGCGCTGTGCAAGGACTTGTGTCTAGTAGGTTCTGCAGCAGGACCTTCCACCCTCCTGCAAATGGAGGGGAATCATATGTAATAATAACAGAGAGTGTGGGATGGGAAGATGGGAATGAAATGGACCTAGATCTATGCCAGGTCCAGTCTAGAGAGGTTTTGAGCTCTCCCTTCGCAGCTGCCTTTTGTGGCAGGAGCTCAACACATCATGGGCCTTGGGCAAAGCAAGGCGTGCTGACCCTATCTACAGGTTAAAATCATTGCCCAGTGACCTTGAAAACAGTTTGTGCTCTAGAAAAGCTTCAGACAGGTGATTTGAAGAGCTAAAGCTGTGAAATAGATTATAAGGGAGAGCAGGTCATATCCTAGTGGCTGTGCTCCATCCAACCCAGCAGGATTTTGCCTGTGTGCAGCAGCGAGCAGTGTGAGGAAGCTGAGTGGTGTGGAGGCTCTGGGGGTGATCGGGCAACGGCTGGGGTTGTGGCTTTCAACACAAGACAGAAGACAGTCCAAACTTCCTTGCTGTCCTGCACTGAATCTGCTCCATCCAGTGGGAGCAGCTCCATTGCCTGCAGGATCACTGGTGGCTGGCACAAGTCTGCAGGAGAGGGAGGGCGTTTGCACCGCTATAACCTGATGAAGCTGAGCTCAATTTCTCAGTCACATGTGTCCAAATGGGGAGGAAGGGATGGCACTCCAAGGCAGGTCCTGTAATGTCCCTGTTGTTCCTACTCTGCCTGGTCCCAGGTGCTTCCCCAGTGCTTCGTTCCGGCCTGTAGCTCAGCCATCAGGTTTATAGCTTGGCATTTCTTCCTGCTGTGCATCTGGATACTGCATCTGTGCTCAGTGACATCTCTATTAACTCCCTGCCATCGTAGCCACTGCTGTAAGCATGGCTGACTTGGGCTGTGCTATCCCTGAGCGCAGCGCAGGCTGGGAGGTGTGCATCGTCCTGCTGCAAGGTTGCCACATTCCTGCCACTGTCCCAGGAGCAGAAACTGCAGCCAAGTTGGTCAGAGAAATCAGGATGGAAGAGGTGTAAAGACCAGGCAGAGAGTACAGCCCAGGAAGAGATTTAGAGGGAGTCTTTAACTGGGGATGCCAAAGCAAAGCCCACGTCTTCCCTAGCAATTAACACAGTTTGCAGGGGAGAAGCCATTTCACATCCACTCAAAACCTGGAAAAATAAGAAAAACAAAAAAAATAGCTGATGCCAGTCATACGGACTAGGGATATGGCCCTGCCCAGATGAAGACTAGTATTTTTTCCTACCCGGCCTCTGCAGCCCTGGTGTCCAGGCCCTGTTGGCCCATAGGCTCTGGCTCAGTTGTGCTCTCAGCTGCGGTGTAGCTGGCTGCCCACATGTCTCTTCCAGCAATAGCACAAGAGTGAGATCCAGCCCAGCAGGTCCCTGGCACAGGCCCTCCCAGCTCAGCCCACAAAATGCTTCCAGGAGGTCTTTGCCAGCAGCAGGATGTGAGCAAAGCAGCAGCTTGCACGTGGAGAGATGTCAGATTGACAGACGATGCCAAAAAAGAAGGGATCCTGGCAGAGGGATGACAGTGATGTGCCGCTCCATTAGTGCCGAGGGAAGAAGCGTCACAGAGAAGCTACAGGCACTGATGGGGACCCCGCAGCCAGCTGAGCTCGCTGTATGGCTAGCTCAGTTACTCTCAGGGCTGGCCAGGAGCTGGAAAGGATCCTGGATTGCAGTGCTACATCCCTGTGGAATGATGCCCAGTGTGTCTCCTTCTGCAGCACCTGCTGGGCCCTCTCCAGCAGCAGGAGAGGTGCTACAGCTGGCTCTGCAGGAGCAGAAAGCCCTTCAAAGGGCCATCTTCTCACCTAGAGTGGGGTCCTCACCCCTGTGAACTCCTTTGGGATGGTCCTGTTAATCCCCAAGCTAGCCTGGAGCATCACAGGACTGATCAAAGGTCAATCCTGCAGAGACATCTGTCTACAGGCACCACTCATGATGAAGGGCAGTGCGTAGTCCCTTGCCCTCTGGGGGGGTGAAGACCAGCTTGTGCATCTCTGGTACATCTAATTATAATACAGTGCTGAGCTGTACGGGCTTTCAAACTTGAAGAGCATGGCAGACTTCTTAACTTTATATCAAAAAACAGAGCCAGGATCCACTTCTGGGATAAACAACTGGAAGATATTGCTTGCAGGGATTTGTATTTGCTGCAGTCTGACACACAGGGGTACAGAAATTCTTCTCATCCACAGTTTTGGTGCTGGGCAATGTTCTGCTTCTCTTGGATGGAGAATGAGAGAGCTTGTTCTGATGCCTGAGAGTGCCCTAGAACTGAGTCTCACATGGATTAAAAATCAGTTGAATATCTGCAGGGTTTGATACTAGACTGGTCATAGTGTCCCAGTAGAATGAGATTAAATTGCCTAGTTCAAAATGACTCCAAACCCAAAGGAGAAAGAAGCACTTGGAAAATAAACTATATTATGGATTTCAAAGCCAAAGATTGGTGCAATGTGAGAGATGATAACTGATGAGATATTTCCACTGTGAAAGGGCAAAGGCCAAAAATAATGAGGAAGGGGAAAGGGGGGAAAGAGGTGGAATTTGGTTCAAAGATGCCATAAATTCATCTAGTGACACAGTAACTCTTGTCTGGACATGGACCTTGCAAAACCCCAGCCAAACCTGAGTAGGGAGGTGGTGGGATGGCACTCTCCAAGCCATGAGTTACTGAAGGAGGAGGCCACTGCGTCTCTACAGGATTCCTCTGATTCACTTCTGGCCTCTCAGAAAGACTTCTGGGCACAGACTGGCATTATTTAACTACCAAAAAATGCCAGTTCCTCCCTGCCACTGAGGGACTTGTTGTTGCTGGGCACAGTACTGGGGAGACTGCTCAAGGTCGATGGAGGGGATTCTCTGAGCAATGCAAAGGCATTGTCTGTTGGTGCAGCATCCAAGCAGGCTAGGTAGCTGGAATGCAAAAATCTGGGCCACTCTGGATGGCAAATGCTGAAATGATGGTGCTAAAAATGTAACTTGCTGGTGGTGAACTCGGAGTATCACAGGACTGTCTGTTTGACAGAGCCAGTTGAGTTCCTTATTGCAAAGGCAGCAAGATTACTATGGAAATGCAGATCTCTGTATACCAGCAGATCTAATACTTGAGAAACAGGCTACAGGAGCGATGTTTTTTTGAAGCCCCAAGGCCTCCAAACACACACCGTCTCCTACACATCCCAGAGAAAGACCAACAGTCCATAACATTTCTCTAACTGGAACTAGCTGGGTAGATTAATGAAACAAAGCGCAAAAGCAAGGGGAAACAATGCAGGCAACTTTGGCCTAATGAACGAAAGCAGTTATGTCTCATGATAAACATTGCAATGGCACAGATGGGGTGGAGAAAGACTCATCCTTACCTCCACTTCTTTCTGACTCCAGCCAGTAAATAAAGGAATGAAAGCCTGTCCACTTTGCATCAAGGACAGGTCTTCCTCTACACTTTTCCCCTTCAACAGGCCTGCACATATTGATTCACTGGCCTCCCATTAGTGGGCATACTTCTAACTACCAACTGCCTGAAAGACTGGAGACATTCAAAGTAGATGTGCTGAAAAGCATGACATGTAACGAATAACAATAACTAACAAAAATCGCAATGAGTAGATTGATGAGAGCCATAAACATTTGAAATCCTGCCAAAAATGTCATTGCACGCAGAAAACTCCCCTTAAGACACTAGTAAATAAATATATCTCCTTGAGGAAGAAGTCAGACATGAGCAGCTTCAGGTCAACTGAGGTAGTATTGGGCACTTTGGTAGTCTGCAACCCTTACAGTCCCCATCACAGTTCCTGTACTGAGACTGACTTTCACACAGATGGTTTATAACCCACACTGCCCTACAAGCAGGCTGAGATCTCAAGCTGTAGCAGCCCACTGCTAGAGTCTCTTCCATGCTCCATGTTGCAGCTGGTCAATCCAATACAACATCTACCACCCAGGTTTCTTTGGGAATGGAGTGGTGGTGTGGGAAAAGGCATCCACGTGCTGGGTACAGCTCAGGCTGTGCCATGTTGTACAACCCCTGAAGTCATGCTTACCTGTTGCACCCAGTGCCATGATCCCTCTTATATCATCTCTAGTCTGCCAGATGCACCTGGTTATGATGTGACACGGTGCAGTCTGATGTTCTGAAGGACTTGTTACTAGAAGAGTATGCCCCTCTGTTATGCATCCTCAAAGATGTGTTGGTGTTTATTTGTGTCATATGCCTGTGTACTATGCATACCAAATGTTACATTCTAGGTTTATCATGTGTAATTATTAGTAATCCATTAAAAAATCTAAAAACCCAAACAATGCAGAGCTTAATTAAATGAAACAGAGCAAGCTTTTGTATTCATTCAGGGGAGAAAGGCATTTTCTCAAGGACAGACTAATGCCTATGAAACGAATAGAAAACTGTCCTTTCCCTGCCCACGTCACAGTTCTGGTGACTTATCTGGAGGTTGTGGCCTGGCTGAAACACCCCTGGCATGACCGTGTCTGTCTGCAGGAATATTAACAACAAAGGGACTATGTCTCATTGCTTTCCACTCCCATCTCTTGTTCAATAGGATATTTTTATTTGCCTTTCCAATACTGCCGCATCAGGTAAGAAGTTGATAGGGACTGTATGATGCCCGGGAACAGCCAGTCTTGTTCTCAAAGCAGATCTGCTCCACAGGTGAAGGAGATGACAAGAGAAAGCTCTGTGGAATTACTTCAGCCAATGTCCTTCTCAGGCACTGTCATCATCTGTTTCGTCTGCTCCTCCACTGCCGATCCACATTGGCGGGGGCTGTGAGAAGGCAGCTCAATTTATGGACACATTTACTGTATCTGTCTAATCAGTGTTACTTAATTAGTACTATCTCCGAGTAGATGATACATATCCTGGCTCACACAGTTCTACAGTGGCTACGCCACCTCGTTATCCGTGGTGGAGCCTGCCCTGCCCAGTGCCCTGATGCATCCACAGCATCCTTCCTTTTATTCCGTGTGTGTGTTACAGCTTTATGCAGTACCCCCAAAAAACTTTTAGCCTATTGTCAGCCCTCACGTTTGCTCACTAATACCCTTGAACCCTTCTTGCCACGCCACGTGGGACACCTTGGACAGCTTCACAGATCACCAGTAACTGCTGAAATGCAACTTAGAAAACACTGCCCCAAGAGATCTGGGGACCAAGGATGCCACGTCCTCACCTTCTGCTCCAACCCCAACAGGTGACCCTGCGGCGGAGGAGTGGTCCCCGTGGAGCGTGTGTTCAACCACCTGCGGGGAGGGCTGGCAGACCAGGACGAGGTTCTGCGTGTCGTCTTCCTACAGTACTCAGTGCAGTGGCCCTCTCCGGGAGCAGAGACAGTGCAACAATTCTGCCGTGTGCCCAGGTGGGCTGAGTGCTCCATGTATGTGTGGGCAGGAGGGGAAGGGAGATGCACAGAGGATTGACTGCCTGTGATACCTCCGCTGTGATATCTACTTGGAAGAAGATGGGTTTTTGTTTCTTCTTCCTTCTCTTTTTACCCTAAAACCTCATACAGAGACCCTTGCTAGACCAATCACCATTAGATGGCAGTTGTTTTGTTTGATATGGACAATTCAATGCTATCTAAAGGCAATGAACACAGTACAGCTGAAAGGCATGTGCCCTTTGGAGTGGGGCATGGGGGAAACTAGGAAAGAGAAGCACCAGATGCCACTTTCAGTTGCTCAGATGTCAACACTGGGCATACCTTTGCAAAGTCAGCATGAAAAGCTCAGGCTGCTGGTATGTTTATGAATTGAGCTAGCCATCGTCTCTGTTTTCATACTCCTTATTCCACAATTTTGAGGTAAAAGTACAATCTGGGGAGCCTGGGCATTATTTTGAAGAATTCTGCTATATTAAGCCAGGTGTGTTATTCACAACTCCCAATGAGCTACGTCATTGTTCAGAACCAATCTTACAATGGTGAAACCACCGAGCTGTTTTCCCGTGCTCTTTCCAGCATTTCCTCCTCCAGTTATCTCTTATCATGCAAGATGCCTGGCGACAATAGCAAAATGTTGGGTTTAAACACCCTTTTCTGATACTGGTGGATCTGTCACTGTTAGCGAGTGATGCAGGACTGGAAAAGTACCTGGGTTTTGTTTGGGTTTGGGGTTTTTTTTTCTGAAGCATTATTGATTTTGCATTAGCTTCTCCAGTAAAGCTGGAAGGGATGAACTCCCTTAAGAGAGATCAGTACATTCTTGTAACATTTAGTCTCTAGAGACTACGGTGACTAACCTTCCATAAATAACCTGGCCAGACTAGATTAGATTAGATGAGATTAGATGGAGAAGATTAGATTAATATATATTAGAAAGCTTTAAATGTCTAATTCCAGGAGTTACCAGTGATGGCCTGAGCACTGTTGGAGCATATTGCCCATCCCATTTTGTTCTTCCAAGTCTCCCTAGCTTTGCCTCTGTGGTGTCACTGATGTATGTTAGTAATCAGTAACCAGACTACAGCTTTTCTGAGAGCTTGAAAACACTGTAGCCTTTGACAATTCAGTGAGAAAACGTGTTGAGGGAGGGAAATAAGGGTAAGAAGTGACAAAATGACGGTGATGCTGCTTCCCAAAGGGCGGTGGGTTTTTTGTTCCTCTCGAGCTAATTGCATCTTTTGCTCTAAAAATGCCCTTTTCTCTTGGCTCAAAAATCTGAAAAATTAGGGTCAATTAAAAGTGCATTGTGGTTTATTTCAAATAGACTGGAAAGTAACAGACACTTGGTGTCAACACCAAAGCATAAAAAATTACATGATGTTCCTCTTGCACATTTTGGGTTGGTTTGTTCTTGGCCTTCCCACACTTGCTTCTCACATGCTGCTCATTCTGGGTGGGAAGATGCTGTGCTCCGTGGGCTCACTCACTTCTCCAGACCTCCTTTGGAAAGAAAACTTCTTTCTTCTGCTTTGATTGCAGTGCATGGCACCTGGGACGAGTGGTCTCCATGGAGCTTGTGCTCTTCCACATGTGGGAGAGGGTACAGGGATCGGACCCGCACGTGCAAGCCCCCACAATTTGGTGGGAACCCCTGCGAGGGCCCGGAGAAGCAAACCAAGTTCTGCAACATTGCACTTTGCCCAGGTAAGGCAGTTAGAGATTCAAAGCCTTCCCTCCAGCAGGTCTCCCCATCTCTGGAGATGCCCACACATGGCTCACCGAATGGGTCTGTAGCTGCCTCAGCTGAATCAGCCCACAGTCTGCACTGTCCTGAAGAGGATCCTCTCTAAGGAAAGGACACATTGGAGGACAACCTAGAGGTGCTTTGTGGGGCTATTCAGCTAAGCTTTGTCTTAGGTTGAGATTTGCTCTGTGTAGTAACTTTCAGAGAAGACATTGTATGCCTTGGATCTGGACTGGCTCAGCCATCACTACTATTTCCAAGACCATCTTAAGCTTCTTACCTGTTATCACCAGTGAATGGTTTAAAGTTATTTTGCCTGACTGGGCTTGTTCTTGTGCTGCAATTAATTAATAGTTTTACTTGCTGACAATATGCATGCATTGATTCACTACATAGGCAAGTTTTCCCTGTACCTGATACTGCTTTGGGTGGTGAGATGGGCTAAGAGACCCCTGAGAGCCTTCCATGGCATATTATAATACCTTTATGAACCTTTTCCCTACCCCTAGATTTCACTTCCAAATGCCTCTCCCTGAGTTTTGCTTTGAAACACCAGAAAGAAACCTCAAGATGAAATGGCTTTTAATGCTGGAAATCCACTTGCACTCCTGTGGTTTCCTTCCCCTGAACCAGAAAGGCCCTGGGTTTACCAGTCCCCATTAATTTAACTCAGGATGTCCTGGTGAACATGATAGGAACATGAGGGAGCTCCCCAACACTTCCCCTCTTTCCCAGAGTAATGTCAACTGACATTTTTCCAGTTTAATGAGAATCATTATAAGACATTATTATGTCCCCGGAGGAGGACAGGGATTGTGGGAGTGATGAGAACTTTGTGAAAACATTTGTGAGAAGCCTCCTGGCATTTCCCACCCAGTTTTTACCCCAAGAAACTATCCCTGAATTTCTGTCTCTGGTCCAGAAGACTGTACTCGGAATAAGAACATCCCAGGCACCAAATCAGCTCTGTCATAAAAAGACAAATTGAAGAAGTCAGACCTGGCATTGGTTGGGCAATAAAGCATGTCCTGAGTTAACATTGATCCATAATTAATTTAAGTACAAATAAATATGTGGATACGCTGCAGCGAACGGAACGGCAGTGGAAAAGACAAGCAGCCCAACTGCAAGACTTCAGCTCTAATTAATGCCACAAAGGCAATCAGTGGCTTTGCTGTGCCAAATGAGCGCAGCGTTGGGGGACTCATTGAAGCACAACAATGGGCACTGCTCAGCGCTTGACACACACAGTCATATCGCTTATTACCGCCCTGCTCTGAGGATTTATTACTACAACTGATAAAAATGCTCTGCTGCAGGGACAACAGAGCTTTTGTTCCTCCGGAGCAGGAGATATCATGGGCTGAGCCCCAAGTCCTTCGGAGAGAGAGGGGGAAGACAATGCCAGTCTCTGCATAGACTACACCAGCCAGAATCCAAGGAACATTTTTGATAGACTCGTGCTGTGACAATGGCACTGAGCGGTCTTTGCTGCAGCTGTGATGAAGAGCCCTCGGCACCTTGCCCAAGAGACACCTTTACATCAGCACACATGGCTGGAGGTGCAACACGGACATCTCTGTTTCTCCGTGTTTTTTTTTTAAACGTCTTTGAAATTACAGTCTATGAATAAATAATCTCTCATCTCAAAGGAAATTACCTATTCCCTGCCCTGCACTGAATGAGCAATTCATGGATGTGGCCCTCTTATTTTCCCACCTCCAAATGCTCGCTCTTGTAAGCTGCCAATCACCACTGTCACAGCAGCACGGTAGGGCTTTGGTAAATTCAACGTTTTGGTAAATGTAACTTTTTTGGTAAATGCAATGTTTACTTTGGTAAATGCAATCTTATTTTTCCAATATAGGGGAATATTAACAAGGAGCAGGCACTGTCAGTTCACGGAAACTTGTGGCACTTCCTTCAGTCAGAAAATCCACACTAATTTATACCTGATAGAACCTACTTTGTGGGGTTTTGGAACATTTCCAGAGAGGAATCATCTGTCAGTCACCATTTCTTGCATTTCCCCTCCTTGGGATTGATAGGCACTGACATGATGCCTGGCATTTATGCACAATGAAACCATCATGCTTCGACTGTTAAAAACAAGCACTTTTTGGAAGTACCTTCATGCCTGCCTGATTTTTCACACCTGAGCTCATGTGACCCTTCCTGAGTTAACAGTTGCTCATTTGGATGTTTTTGACATTTTTTTACGTGCTTGCAAACAAAAAGCTACTCAACTGCAATGGGGATTATTTGGGGCTATTAGAGCCCTTGCAGATTACACAGGGGATTGGGTTGCATATATTTTTCTTGGACTGACAAACAAAGCCAAAGAAAATGAGCTGCAATGTACAGCAATGTGATTTGAACCAGAATTCAGATTTTTTCAGGGATTCAGGTTATTTTTCTGAGTGAGAGCTAGCAGCTAGTGAGAGCTAAACAGAGCATGATGACTGCTGCTAATGAGAAAAAAGTGCTCCAGGAATAGCAGACTGGGTGATGGATCTGTTGATCAGGGACCAATTAAGGTGTAACTGCCACACTTGGGAATGCCTCACACTGTACCACGCTAATAAGATGTATTCATGTTTCTCTCCAACCCCATCCCTATCATAACCTCTCTTGTCCCTCCCTCCTCTATTTAATTATCAAAGACAGCGCTGTGTAGAGACATATCAAGCCTGTCAGTGTTAATTCAGCTGTGAGAGAAGTACACTGACCACACACGCACACTCTGCTTGTGGTCTCCTGTGGGACCGTACCTTTGCTCCGAGGGTTTCCCGGCTAGCAGCGTGAATTCTTGCAAATAATGTCGTGATTCAAGTTTCTGTGAGCACTGTAATGAAAAACAGCATTTGGGTGCTTGAGAAAGTTCCCTTTCCTGCAGACTTGTGCATTGCTTTGGTGAAAAATGGGTGCCCTCAAAAAGTGCTGATTGCCCAAAATGGGATATGTCATGGTAATGTATTGATTCCCTCAAAATTTTCAGTGAAAACATGATCCATGCTCTCTATTTTCATGTTATTTTGTCATCGGCAATATTATTAGTTTTGACTTTTATGTTGGAATGTGTAAGATCAATAATTTCAACTTTTAATGGAGTTACATAGAGTATGGACATAAAAATGGAAAAGTTACGGCATTTGTATCCTGCCGGGGCCATAACATACCAGTCAGAGGTTGCAGAAGGTCCCATCAAATTGCCATTGCCAAAGTTGTCTGAACTTTTACCTGATGGCCCTTGCACTGTCTCATGTTCCATGACTCCGGTTTGTCACCCCCTGCCTCGGTCCCTTGTAGGCACAGGCCGGAGACTCTTGCACATGCCTCTTTCCAGTGGGAGCGATTTTCACATTCAGTTTTGTTATCTCTCTTTGGGCCACTCAGTGGACGGCAACTGGAATGAGTGGTCGAGCTGGAGCTCTTGCTCTGCCTCCTGCTCCAACGGCACCCAGCAGCGGACGAGGGAGTGCAATGGACCTTCCTATGGGGGAGCTGAATGCCAAGGACACTGGGTGGAGACAAGGGACTGCTTCCTACGCCAATGCCCAGGTCAGTGAGCAATGACTTTCTCTTTCTCTGGGGTCATCCTTCTCTGTAGTTCCAGGCAGGCTTTTGTGAAATACCCTCCTATTTTCTTTGGGGAAGAATTGTGCAGTTTTCACCAGTAATGCAGTAATAAGGAGGTTTTGGGTCATATCAATGGACCACACAAGCCAAAATCCATAGCTGGCAAATGCTCCAGAAGACCCCAGAGAGGTGAGCAATTACCCACGGGGAACGTGTCTTTCTAACCTTAGATACCAGTTTTCAGCATGTGTTAAAAAAACCTGAACAAAATATCAATGAAACCCTTTCCACACCTCCACAATGCTTCAAATTTCTCCTTTTTTTTTTTTTTTTTTTATTATTATTCTACCAATTCGGCACTCCCAGTTACAGCTGAAGCAAACAGGGAAGCAACCACTGTTGTATCACAGCTTTGAACCTTATCTATGACAAGGTCTGGCACAACGAAACCTCGACTCATGCTTATCTAAGACTTGTCACTTACTTTACTCATCAAACTGTGTCTTAAATTAATAACAATAATAACATCAATAATAATAACAATAATAATCATAATCGTAATCATAATAGTAGTAATAGTAACGATTCCTGATGCCCCAGGTGTTATAGCCAATATCTTACATTCAGAATGATCACCTTGGACCATGGGCTCCAGGAGAGCCATTTCATGCAGGAGAAGCAAAGAAAATTGAAGCAGATACCAGAGCACACCTACCACCAGAAGTCTGCATTTCTCAGACTGACACCAAGACTATAGAGTTGCAGGTGCCCTTTCCTCCTTTCTCTGCAGAAGTCTTGGGGGAGGCCATTGCAAAGAGATTAATTGGGTCAGCTAGTGTGGAAAATATTCTGACCTGGAAACACAGCTTGAACATCTAGAAACCTTCAAGACTGATCAGCAACCAATTTTTCTTACCATGCTTTTCTTGGCCCTTTCCCTGTCTCTCCCTGGGTGCTCCATCCCCATTAGACCATAGGACTGAGAAGGAGTGGATCCCTGAGATGGAAAGGGTCTTCCTCCCCTTTTCAAGAGAACAGGGACAGCCAGAAAGAGCTCAGCTCTTTGAGGCATTTCTCATACCTTGCTCAGGTGAGCAAGTATTGTCATTCTCTTTATTCCACAAGCATAGAAGTCAGTAGCTCTTTAGCCTGGTATAGCTGTTTCCTCAGGGAATCCCTATCCTCTCTGGTAGCATGACCATCTGCAACAGAGCATGAACAGTATTTAACACAAGTATTGGACTTTCCTATATGGTCTCTAGTAGGTTTTGGTGTTGTGGTGGTTTGACCCTGGCTGGATGCCAGGGACCCACCAAAGCTGCTCTATCACTCCCCGTCTAACCGGACAGAGGAGATAAAAAATAAATCAAAGAGCTCGTGGGTTGAGATAAAGGCAGTTTAATAAAGAAAAAAAAAGCAAAAGCAAAGGCGTGGTAGCAAAAGGAAAGAAAACAAGATTTTATTCTCTACTTCCCATTAGCAGGCGATGTCCAGCCACTTCCCGGGAAGTAGGGCTTCAGTATCCATAGTTGTTCCTTCCCGAAGACAAAACGTCACAAAAGATGAATGCCCCCTCTCCTCTTCCTTTTCCCTTAGTTTTTATATCTGAGCTGATGTCATATGGTATGGAATATCCCTTTGGTTGGTTTGGGTCAGGTGTCTTGGCTACATCCCCTCCCAAGATCTTGCCCCCTTCCAGCCCACTGGTGGTGGGAATATTGGAGGCACAGCCTTGATGCTGTTGGAGCACTGCTCAGCAGTAGCCAAAACATTGGTGTGTTATCAACCCCTTTCTACATACCAATAGAAAGCACATCTCTATGCTGCTCGACCCAATACAAGTGTTTAGGTATCTCACCCCTTCTTTGTAACTTACGGGTATCTGCAAAGACAAAAAGGGCCTCGTTCTTTTTTAGACAGTCTTGTCCCACTGATTTCAGAGTTAGTTGTCAAAGCACTGTTGGTCATGGCTTCCACTGCATACAGTGTCACCAAAGCAAGCATCAAAGGTTGGTGCTGTCCCTTTTCTATGATAATTTTCTTCTACTTGTTGGAGAACAAGAGGGGGATCCCCCACCCTCCCAAAAGGAGTTATTAAACCCAAGATGATTTGTTAACTCCTAATTAAAAACCTTACAGGAATCAGGAGATTTAGGTCCTTGCTCTAGTTCTGTAACCAAGTTGTTTTTTCTCATCTGTGATACAGTAGAAGAGAATGTTTCCCTACCTTGCAGGCTTGTGTGAGGGCTAATTAACATTTTAGAGTGCTTTGATAAATGCCATTGTTAATGTAAAAGAAGTAGCATTTCCACTGAATCTGTAAAGATGTTGAGAGAACATACAATGAAATGAGACAAAATCCCAAACCTCTTTCCAAGGCACATGAAACAACAGTGCAAAGGAAATGGCAGGAAGGAGGTTTATTTGGTGTTTGTCCATGGTTTCTCAACCAGGGGCTCTTCTGGTCTTTCTAAATCTCTGAGCCAGACCTTCTCTGGGAAGATCTGTTTTCACACATACATTGTACATCCCAACCAAATTCAAGCTATGGACTTTGACTGGTAGATGTGGCTGCCAGACACATCTACAGACAGATCCCTGCCCCCCTGAAGGGCGTTCATGAGCACAGCCTCAAATCTGAGCCCACAGTGAAAGATAGGGCTGTTTTCGCAGGGGGTGAGGATACTGAGGAGAAACATAAGAACATACTGCACTTATTAAAGGACTGCTGTAATGGAAAAGAGAACACACTGATTTCATATCTGTTGAGGGTCAGACAAAGATCTGAGGTGGGAGACTTCCCTTCCCACTGAGCCATGCTCTACTCACCCTGTGTTCCACTGCCCACCTTGGAAGCTTGCCTCCTTCTGTTGCACATTATGTTTGGGGTATGACAGGCCGTTTCTCTCCTCTTTTTTGTTTCCAGTGGATGGGAAGTGGCAGGCCTGGGGAGTTTGGGGCAGCTGCACCGCCACATGTGGAGGTGGGACTCAAAGACGTGACCGTGTGTGTTACGGGCCCTTCTTCGGTGGAGAGACTTGCCAGGGCCCCAAGGAAGAGTATAAGCAGTGCAATGACAGAAAGTGTCCTGGTATGTACCCCAGACTCCTCACACTTTTCTTTGCATGGGAGGGCCAGGGATTTTGGAAAGCGGGTTGTGTGTCGTCAGAGAGCTGAATCCAACAAGGAGCTGTGATCTAACTGGACCCTGCCCATAACCTAGGCACAAGATACATCAAAGGCTTGATTTAATTCTTGCCGAAGCCAGTGTAACTATGCTGATTTCAGTGAATGTTTGGTAAGTCTCGCCAGTCTACCCTCGATATTTTTCATCTTTGCATTGCCATAGAGCCATAAGAGGAAAAGACACGCTGTTTGATAGCGAAAATTGACATCAGAGTCTCAAGTCCATAATGTAGTTGAGTGTTGAGGATGCTGCAGTGATTTCCCACCCTTTACCCAGCCTCCGGGAGACCTGCACACCACTTAATTTTTTAAAAAAGACAGACGTGCCTACATGTGTCAGAGCCTTACCCAGTCTCACTCTCCTCCAGCTACAGCCATGGGAGCAGCACGAGAAAAAGAGTGCAAAAGCCTGAATGGAGGGCAAGTGAGCTGTAGGACAGGGGAAAACCTAGAGTTTAATGTTAAAAATAAGCAGGAGCAAATACTTGCAAGTGGGAATGCTTCTGTCTATCTCACAGAGCATAAAGAGGCCAGAAAAAAAGGCTTGTGCACCATTTTTATTCTTTCTCAGTCTCAGTTGAAGCACCTGGTGAAATTGCTGGTGGGAAATCAATGGCCTATGTGATGCTGGCAGTCAGACTGCATCGATCGTAATGGGCCCTGATTTTTGACCGAAAGGGTAATTAACTGTCAGAGCATCTCAGTGAGAGACAGGAGAGATTCTCACGGCATCATCGTGGCGGTCCTCGTGAAAAGGGGTGTCTCCCTAAAAGACGGGCTGGAGCTCAGCACAGAGGTAACAGTTTTGGTGCAGATGTTTCTGGGGGTGGATCTGACGTGTTGAGGACAGCTGACCCTGAGAGTCCCTTGCAAACTGCTGAAGATAAAGATAAAAGCCAAAGCACTTCAGCGTGGCAGTTTCAGCCCCCGTTTAGCTCAAAGATAACAGAGACTGTGTGCCTGAGACAGCGTATTCGCTCTTTCCAGCTATGCTCTAATAAAAGACATCACCTCTCCTTACAAGCTGTGCCTCTCAATTAGCAGCGGCGTGTGAGAGTCTCCTCTAACTCAGCCACAAAGCTCTCCCTCGCCATAGAAAATCTTAGCACCGGGTTGTCTGGTGGTGTCTACAGAGCGATGCAGATTTAGTTCAGCTTCAGTGTGTGCCAGCTGGGGCCCTGGCAGAACAAGCCCAATCTTTTCTTCTCTTTCCGCAGGGGCCGATGCCTGCACAGTGCTCAAAAGGAAAAGACATGTCTCAGGGACTGAGTCCTGCTAGGGTTCAAAACCAGAAGGGTCTCATTGCAGTTGTTAATTTGCAGGGGAAGGAAAAAGGTGGGGAGTCATCAGAGGCTAAAAATAAACCCGCTCAATTTGTTCTTGAGAAAGTATCAAATGCCGGCATGATTTGATTTGAACAGAAGAACTGAGCTTAATTGGGTTAGTTGTTAAAATCTCCCAGTGCAAATAGGTTACTCTGGTAAAAAGGGTTTTGTTATGAAGCAACATCAAAAAGAAAAAAAGAAGGAAAAAAAAAAAAAGAAAAAGAGGATGAAATTGTTCTCTTCTGGCCTGGGAATTGCTTCTGCACTCACTGGCAAGACAACACCAGACAATCAGTGGATTTCTAAATAGCATCTCTGATCCACAGCATCCCTCAGCGGTCCCCAGGGAGACTGCAGGGGTGACGCGACCAGGAAGGTTTGACAGGTCAGAGGAGGAGAACGGAGAGGTCAGATGTGAACACACTCCCTCTCTGCTTTTTGATGTGTGCTGTTGTTTTGTAGCTGGAAGCTTCCCACCCCACGCCCCAAACCCTCCTTTGAACCACAGTTTGATGTGGAGAATCTGTGACCATGGCCAAAGCACTGGTCAAGGAGGCAGGAGTTTGGATTCACTCCCACGTGCTGGTCACAACTGGGCGACTTAATCTCGCTGTCCTACAGCTCTGTGTCAACAGGTTGGAAATAAAACTGTCTCTTTTTCACCCATGTTCTGCTTTATCTACAGAAGTCATAAGCTGTTGACATAGGGACTATTTCTGTGTATGTGCAGAGCACAGCAGGGGTCCTGCTTGCCCTCCAGGATTTCATTACAGTAGCGATTACTCAAAAGAGAATTTTAAAACAGGGGAAGGAGCATCTGTTTCCAAGCACAGAGTGGAAGTTGTTCATTTTTACTAGGGAGGAATCTGTCTTTGAACTGCAGCTGAGGCTGGAGCCACACAGTCTTAGAGCTTGACTCCAGGAGCAGTAACGTGTAGGCAGCTTGTTGGGTCTTGTACGAGTCCTTCAAACAAATAGGACTTGCCATGCCCGTAAACTTAGGTTTGAGCCTTCCTCACAGCCAGGTTGGTGCTCTGGGTAGTTCCAGAGCAGCAGCAGGGTATGTCCATCACTGGGTATTTGCTCCATGATGCGGGTCCTGAAATGGTCTGTGTAAGCACATCCATTGCACAACCCCTTGTAGAAGGAAGCCTTCAGGGTTCTGCTGCCCTGCAGATCCCTTAGGAGAAACATGAAAACTTAAGGCCTCCTTCTTTTTTTATGGCAGAGGTACATTTTCCCTCCAACCTTGGCATGTATCTACTGGCACCATTGGGCGCTGGTACGGGCAGCACTTTTCTGCATGGGAAGAAAGCTCAGCAGGCAGCTGCCAGGCTCCACGGCTGGTTGGCTTTGGCTTTGCGGCTGCCTTTCCAGTTGCAGGCATGTAGTCAGCTTCGGTTTTATTAGTAGTTTTACGTACACAATAAATAAAAGCTGTAATCGAAAACCATTAAATATAATTTTTTCTCCTCCCCACCCTCAGGAGTGATAAATAGCTTTAACACCATCCTCGTGGCTCCCTCCATTTTACACGCTGCAAGTAATGAGTTTTTCGGCACAAAGCTCTCCTGCGGTGCATGTTTTTTCCCAAGTTCCACTGACTCTGGGACCAACACAGCTCCACCCACAGACAGAAGCATCCAAAAACCTCCTTCCAAAGAGCTTTTTCTGTGATATCTCAAAACACTTTCTGCAGTCTCCTGGACTCTGCAGCAGTGTTTGGAAATGAGCTGCTGATACAAATCCAGCCTGTTGGTGCTCACATCTTCTCCAATGCCCTCACATAAGATAGCAGCAGACAGAGGGCCCTGAATGAAGTCCACCCAGGGGATGTGCCCACCTTGTTTTTTCATCTACTTGTTGGTCTTTCCTTCATTCTTACTCCACCTTATTTATGCCGAGCCTCATTTTAGACGCATCCGGTCCAAAACCCAGCTCGTCACCCTGAATGAAGGAAGGCGTAGAGTCTGGAGACACAAAAGGTGGACATCAGTTCCTTAAGCAAGAAAAGAAAACTCTTTAGTAGGGTGCAGCAACAACAGCTTTCTTGTAAAGAGCTGCCACAAGGCAAGGCAGGTGTGTTAGGTTTTCCCAGGTTGTTACATGCATATTAGCGAGCTGATCCTCAGGATGGATGGACACCCATTTTTCAGACAGGCAGAGCAAATTCCAGAGAGGTTAAGTGGCTTTGTCAGGGGCCATGCACCAAGAAGCTGTGGAGCTGGGAGTTCACCTTCAGGCCTCCTGGCTCACACCACACTGTTCATCCCTCCAGACCACACTCCTGTTTTCTCTTTCCATTCCCTTTTCCACATCTGTCCTGAGGGGGAGGCTTTACCAATGGAGTTTTTCATTCCTTGCAGAGCCCCATGAAATCTGTGATGAGGAAAGTCTTGCCTCTGTGGTTTGGAAAGAGACGCCCGCTGGGGATGCTGCAGCGGTCCGGTGTCCTCGCAATGCCACTGGTAAGGATGATTGCATGTCTTGGCTGGGGAGCTGGCCCACCCTCAGGGTATCCTTCATTCTTTGCCTCCTAGATAAGGAGAACCTGGTTTGGGGAGGACAGGACAAGCAAATGGACTTCCCTCCCTTCACTCAGAGCTAAACTAAATCTTTCTGAGTTTCTGTGGTCTTTTGCTGTTTAACAGCTTCTTGATTCTTACTGGAGAATCTGAAATGGTTCCCCATCTACCTACTGCCTAGTCCTGGGACAGCTTTGCAATTAAGGGTTACTGTGGTGTGTTCTCCCCATTTTCTACAAATAACTCTGCAGAAGCAGGTAGTGATTTATGAGAGTCCTCTAGACTTGGGCATTATAATTCTCTCTATTTCTCATACAAGAAGCTAGTATCTGGAAGTAGGAAATCTGAATTGCACCGTCCACTCACACCTAGGTGCTTTCTTCTCCCTCTTAGAAACCATAGCAGCTCTCTAAACACACCTTCAGGTGCTCAAGCTGTCAGTCTGATCATGGTGTTTTGAAGTGATAGCTTCTGGGCATCCAGGTGTTATCTGTTGTGACCATGGCCACATGTTCCCTATGGAGTGGAAAGCAGTGCAGAGAAGACTCCAAGTGACATGCTGGTGGTGGAGCTTGTCCTCAGCTGGATGTTTCTCCTCCTCCTCCCAGGGAGGGACAGAAATGGGGCCAGCAGTGTCAGTAATGAACATAAAGGCTATATTTAGTTTGAATGGGATTGTTGGATACAGTCAAACCCTGTAGTTCTCTTTGACTCACATAGCTTAGGACAGTCAGTGTCATCCCAAACTAGAAGGCCTAGAAGAAGGGCTGCATCCATAGCAAGATCACTGAATCTTTTAACGGTAGCGATGAGATTGTGGACCCAGCAAAGCCTGCTCCTCAGAGACTCTCCAAATATCAGCATAATTGCTTGGGTGGGGTGGTCCCTCTCCCCTTCCTCCTCACTGATATGTCTGTTCCTCTGCATCGCAAAAGTGTGTGATTACCACTGCAAAACTCACTGTAGACTGAAGCTGAGGAATGGCCTGGGGGAGGACTGCAAGCAGCTTTCAGAGTTTTTCAGCTGATGTAAAACGGTGCTGTTGGGTATTTATTCTTGAGACTGTGTAGGCAGCACAAGCCACTTTGGCTGGTTTAGTTGCAAGTACCAGACCATGCCACCTGGGGAGGCTCGTGGGACTTCCTGAGCCAGGAAGAAACCTGCCCTCCCGGGCAGAAGAAACCTTCTTTCACCTCGACTAGCCATGTCCAATCTGTTAGGTTTTGTTTTCATTCCCAGTTCCTTTTGCTGTCCTGCCCCTCAGTAAGAAAATGCAGGAGAAGGAAATAAAAATAATCTCTCCTACATGCTTGCATGTGTTTTTCAGGCATCTGCAGATGCCTCCGCTGCCCTTTGTGCTGGTAGGTGTGCCTACATGGATGCATTGACCAGTTCTGGGTGACCTCCCTGAAGGTGCTTGGCTTTTCACCCTGTTGTCCTCACTCCCATATTTGTTTCTTTCTTCTTCTAGGATTGATCCTTCGAAGATGCATTTTAGATGAAGAAGGGATAGCTTATTGGGAGCCTCCAACATACATCAAGTGTGTTTCTATTGATTATAGGAACATACAGATGATGGTAAGGCAGACCAACTTCTCAGCTCAGCAGGTTTGGGATCCCACCAAATGCTTGTTACACTGCTATAGTTATAAAAAAGAAGGAAAGCAGCATTCCCATGTGAAAGGGAGATGCCAGCTCTGCCCTGATTTTCTCTTACTGTTTTTGTCTGCTTAACTTGTGATGCACGAGCACTCTATGGACAGGGATGGTTCCTCACTGAGTATTTCAATACCTAGCTTGGCAGAATCCAGGTCCTACCAGGTCTTTCATATCACATTATCAGTAAGAATCACTGTGACTATATCACTTTTAAATAAGCCAGTTATTTTTCATTAGTCTTAAATTCATTGTTGTGATTAATTTCTGCTGGTGTCCTGCGGCTTGCTTTAAAATGGCATCACCTTTATGAGAACTGCCCTGTCCTATTTGCAACAAGGTACAGCCTGTCCTAAAATAGTTCTGAATTGGTTATAAGAAAACAAGGTTTAGGGGAGAAAAATCTTCTATTAACTGGCCTTGGGTTATGAACAGAATAGTGTCTGTGTAGTAGAATAATCTCTTCTGAACCTACATACACACAACCATTCCTTTGTGGGCATACAGAAAATTTTGCTTCTGCTCTCCTACCATCTTAAAAATATCGTAGGCTCCCAGGCCAGCAAAGATTGTCAGATTCACCTAATCTGCACCCTGAACTACAAGGAAGGTCAAAAACCTTCCCCCAGCAATTTCTTCACTGAGCTCATTAATTTGACTTTGTCCCTAAAGTGTTTGTCGTGTTTCTTTCTGTTTCTCAGACCAGGGAACATCTTTCCAAAGCGCAGCGTGGGTTGATGGGAGATGGGCTGTCAGAAGTGCTCCAAAACCTTGTGGAAATCTCCCAGGATGGGACCAGCTATAGTGGGGACTTGCTGTCCACCATTGATGTACTCAGGAACATGACAGAGATCTTCCGTAGGGCTTATCATAGCCCAACTTCTGGGGATGTACAGGTGAGCTGAGATGCATATCCTGGAGATGAAGGCTAGGTTACAGGTGTGTGTGCATACACAGGGCTCAAGGTTTGATCACCTCCTTCGTAACTAACAGAATGCTGACAAAAAGCCAGAGTATTTTCCGCCCAAGTGAAAATAGGATAGGAAGGGATTTATACAAGGCAAGATCATCTGTTTTTAATCAGTTTCTGACAGACATCTACCTAATCCGCTCTTAAAAACCTTTAGTAATAGATACAAGATGTATTCCCAGTCCAATGCTTTATCAGATATAGTAGTCAAAGTGAAGGCTTTTGGGAAAAGTCCTTACTACAGCCTGTTTTCATAGAATCATAGAATGTTTTGGGTTGGAAGGGACCACTAGTGGTCATCTAGTCCAACCCCCCTGCAGGAGCAGGGACACTGCTAACTAGATCAGGTTGCTCAGAGCCCCGTCCAACCTGGCCTTGAACGTTCCCAGGGATGGGGCCTCCACTGCCTCTCTGGGCAACCTGTTCCAGTGTTTTACCACCCTCATTGTAAAAAATTTCTTCCTTACCTCTAGCCTGAACCTACCCTGTTCTAGTTTAAAACCATTTCCTCTTGCCATTAACACCCTTGGAAGTAGGGGTAGGACCCTTTGGGAATGGGACCATGAGAACCCTCTTGGAGCATGGATGATTCTCCCATGTTCCGCACACATCACGGTGTCCTTCCTAGCCTCTGCTACATTTGGCTAACCACCTCTTTTTTCCTCTTTTGTTTGCCTTCTCCAGAACTTTGTCCAGATCATCAGCAATCTTTTGTCGGAGGAGAACCGGGAGAAATGGGAGGAAGCTCAGCTGGTATGAACCTTCCGCACCTTTCCTGAAACAAGACAGGTTTTCAGCATAGGCTTAAGCCACGACAAGGGGAATTTCCAAGTTTCTACATGACCTTTTAGCATTTCTTGCCCACGATGCATTTTGTGCGACATGTATCTGTTTCAGCCACAGACCACAAAATATCTCCATCCACCAATGCTGTTCTCCTTGGATAAATCCTTATGATGAAAGAGACAGACAATGCAGCCATGGTCAGCTGTGGTGAGATTCACAGTTGACTGCCAATCAGCTGATTCAAGCAACTGGTCGTGCGGGTGAGCTTAGCTCCAGGCTGAGTCATATTTATGGAGTAACCCAGTGAGCCACAGGATCTCAGCACTAAGCCAGAGTCTCTGCATGAAAAACAGTGAAAGACTGGGGGTGAATACCAGATTTTGGACAGTTCTCAAAGGTCAGGCTGGGTTTGGAGTTGATAACCCTTCTGGCTTGCCACAATTCCCCTCTTCTCCTCTTGCCAAACTTGAGTTCCTGGCTAAAAAGTTGTAGGACAAACAGGACTTTCATGCTTCAAAGCTGGGCTCTGCTCAGCTGAGCTTCTGGTTCTGCTCAGCATGAGCTGAGCAAAGGTTCA